TTGAACCTTTGGCTCAGGTGAGCTAAAAAGCATTCATAGATATACTACGGTACTTTATTTACTACTAGTAAGTTTTTGAAATTTATCCCTATCACCATGATCACATCCACCAGCTCGACTATTAAAACTACACTGGATAAAAAATCAATTAAGGTTTTACATAAATTATGTTCATGATAATTAATATTAGAATTTATATATAGGAAGTCAACAAAAATTCTTTCTGTTTCTAACTTAGAAAAAAAAAGAAGTTCTGAATTTAAGGACATATATGCAAGTTACCTTACCTACTGATAATTTATCAACTGAAGATATTCTAAATTTTAACTTTAAATCTCACCACATTTTCCTTGACAAAAAATCAGCATATGTTACCAGGGGTTTTGAAAAGATATCAAATTGTAAAAATGTTTGAATTATTCAAAGAAAAATACAAATATTACAGAACATAATTTCCAGATTTTTTTTCATCAAACATTGTTTTAGAAGAGGTGTACGGTTCCATATATAGACATTAAAAGTATTGCACACACGTCCTTCATTTAGTGAAACTCTTAAACTCCATGGAAGAACCTAATAAAGTTCAAACTATATAACAAAACAAAATATGTTGGGTACAGTGTATGACCTTAAAAGAAAACTGAATTTTCATCCTGCATGGTGCAGTCAGGCGATATTGATCAATATCGCTTTTTTCATTGAAATAGATCTACATGCATGTCAAACTTTTTTTCTTATGATACTTATACTTTCTAAATATTAATTATCGTTAATTAATTAAAAGAAGATCTAATTTTTTATAGAAAGCATTGCATCATCATGTCAAGGTCAGTAAATCCCTTTTAGTGTATGAATCTCTTGATTTTTGTCCTCCACTTTAGCAAATACAAAGAGTTCATTAATTGAATCTTAATATTCATCTATCATCTGTAAGTCTGTTGGTCTGTTCATCTGTCACAAAAACTTAAAACCTTGGTCAGAACTTTTGAATGAGATGAGATGGGGCTTTCGACATGTTCAGATTATACATGCATTACCTGTGGCAATTCCTTTCTTAATGAACTAGTACATGTATATATTTAATTATGATTTTTTACCATGATACCTTGACCTTGAAGTATGACCTACTTTTTACAAATATTCAGTCTTCCATGTGACTTTTGATTTAGAAGAGATAGGGTTTTCATATTTTACATGTGCATTGTAGCATGATATTTCTTAGCATGCTATGGTTTCTGAACCTTCATGTTTGACCTAATTACAAAAATGGTGCTACATTGAATATAACTCTTCAATGACATATGATAGGGCTTTCATATTTGCCGTAATATGTCATATTATACAATTATTGACTTTTGATGAGGTCTACTCGTGACTATACAGACCTGGTCAGGTATTGGTTGACCGAGGCCGAAGTCAATAACCGTTTTATTAAATGATCAGGAGTTTTACCACACTATCGACATTTTTGTTCTTGTCTACATCAAATAGAAACACTCATTATAAAATGCAAAGTGTAACAAAACTTTTCACATGTTGTTATACTTCAATAACTTATTATAATAACAACTAGTAGTTAAAAGTGGAAAACAATATTATTAAACAATCAATACTCAATCATTTACGAGGGTTGTCCCGTAAAATCGTGGACAAAGCGTTTTTCTCGAAAAATAATGGTCGTATTAAGCTGAAATTTTCAGTGAATGTTTATTTATCATATTTAAGTTAATTGTAATGTTTTGAATAAAATATACACAAAAATATAGATTTTATAATGCTTGAATGTGCACAGGGTAAGGCCCTACGGCGCACGGTCAAAAAACGAAGGTTTGATAGGAGAATACAGGAATATTGATTTGAAACAAAAGATTTAAATAGATAAGATTAGGGTAAAGATTATCCTTATTCAATTCCACAATTTATTTTGTTTTCTTCTTAAAATTCTCAATGCATTTGGTCAATTTTTGACAGTTTCCTGAGCATTTGAAATGGGAAAGTGGTAAACACAACACACGAAAAATGGTGACGTTTGGTGACGTTACGGCGCACCGGAGATCAGTTCGCTATGATTTAGATGGTGTATTAATGCCGTATAAAACATTAAATGAATACAGAAGAAAAAAAATCCCCAGAAATTGCCAGATCTTTAGTATATAATTGAAATGGGAGTTTTCTGAATAAAGTCTTTCTTGATCGAGTCCCGAGGTAGTACAAGACATACAGACAAACTACAACTGTAATAGCTAAAGACACTGTCAATGTTGACCGCGTCAATATAAGATTGTCTATAAGTTGAATGATGTTGGAATACTGTCCGTATCTTACTAATTAATCATCAGAAGATCGTACATTTGTGCCAGATTGGTTCCTCAATACTTTATGAAGACTTAAGCATGTGCTTCAATGAAATTTCAAAATTTAAAAGGGACTGATCCAACTTTATTTTTAGCGCAAAGATGAAACTTGAGGTACCTGACGCTGTTTTAGGCACTTTAACGTTATCATCTGTGCGCCGTAAGACGATACAATACATAATATAAAACCTTATAATTCGTTTATTTATGCATATATCTATTTGAAATTTTCTATATTTATTAAGAAAAAATGTACTAGTAAGTAGTGAAAATTTTAGAACGCAATGACGATTATTATTCATGCGAGACAACTTGTCCACGATTTTTCGGGACAACCCTCGTACTATCAAAGTGTTTAATCTCCTTGGTACTGGCGTCTGACATGTTTACATTCACAAGAACACATGCTTTGAAACACGCAATCTGACTGGTCGAAAAAACTGTAAGCACATCTATGATTGATCAAGAGGAAAAACCCGAATACCCCCCCCCCCCCCGAACGTCATAGGTGAAGTCACTCTAATCGAGGTACATCTCAGGAAAAGGTGTCTAGACCTATCAGAGAGCATCAAAATTCCTGATCATTTAATAAATACTATTATAATAACTAACATCTAACCAGATATAAATAATTCACATGATACAAAAAAAAATAAGATTCCAGAATAAGGACTTAGGTATTTCCATACATATATCGTATTTTTTGAAGTGATGATATTTGGTTCACACAGATTTTCAAAAAAAGAAAAATACAGATTTCACATCCATACCACTGCAGCAGTTGATCAGATCCACCCTTGTGAGTACCCCCACAAAAGTACACCCCCTTCCCCCTTTGGGGCTTAATTTTTGAATTTATTCCCAATGACTGACTTTTATTAAATTCATAAATATACAATGAACTTGAACTTGATTTACCTTAGACATGCACAATGTGACATTATAATCTAACTGATATGTGACATCCTAGTTGTCAGTTGACAAAGTTGCAAATTGTGGAGAAAAAGCTATCTATGCCAAAACATATTCCTCCTCCCTTGGGTAAGATAGAAAACTAATAAACGTGATAAAAAATTTATTTTTGACCATGTATACACTCAAAAAAATCTCCAGTCTCTTTGTGGTAATATCTACCACATACAACATAGGGGTGGGACGATACCCAGATCTTGCGATACGATACGTATCTCGATATATTGGCACGATACGATACGTATCTCGATATTATGATAAATCATAAAACTATTTAAAAAAAATATTATTTTATTTCATTTGTTTTTCTTGACATTAACACAACATGATAAATTATAAAATTATTCAAAAGAATTAGTATTTTATTTAATATTTTTTTTTGGTCTTGACATTAACTAAAAAAATAATTCTATATCAATTCACGTGTGCTATGAAAATAATACTTGAAGAAATGAAGTTCATCAACTTCATTGACTAAAAGTAAAACTAAATAAAAACAATAGTACAGGACAGTTGTACATTAACAAGTTGTTTACAAATAGTTGTGTAGTTTATCAACGAACACTGACTAAAAATTCATTAAAAAAAATCACATTTACATTATTATTAATTGCTGAAAGTCTGTAGCCAAGTTGAGATTACAAAAAAGAACGAGATGGACTGACAATTAATAATATCAAATGTTATGGAAATGATACCTTTCTGTGTATAGCACGCTTCACCTACAATAAGTGTCAGCTTAAAAAGTAAAGTACGACGGGCACTATAGCATTATGCTGTGAAAGTATATATCATTTGATTTTTTTCAGTGGATAAGGAGGAGTTGCGGATAAGAAATGAATGCCCTTCAATATCATATTAAGAATGGCAGTGTCCATGTTTCTCCTGGAAGTTGATTCGATACGCAAAGTCATGCTATACGTATAAATTTCTAAAACGAGGTAAATTATTGACAAGCAAGTTGATGAAACACAAATATCAGCATTCTCGTTTAAAGTCATCATTTTGTAAGTTCTATGGTCGATACAATGATCTTGTAAGCAAATACAATTTATCATTGAGTTAAATGCTGACTGACATTTTTCATATTAATTGTTAGTCCATTATTTATACACTGAATTGAAGACGGATTTTCCATTATTTCCCTATCATGACAAGGATCACACGGCGGGTGTGACCGGTCAGCAGGGGATGCTCACTCCTCCATGGCACCTGATCCCACCTCTGAAGTGTCGGAGATCGGTGTTTGCTCTGCTCCTAATTTGTATTGATGGACTTTGAGATTGAATACTGTTTGTTATCTCCATATCCTTCATGTCTCCAATCAAACAGTAAAATTGGAAGTCACAATTGCACCACGTAACAATGTCTTTGAAAGTCTCATTTAATTTCATTCAGTAGTATAAAGGAGATGCAGACTAGACATGGGTACCCAAAAGCGTTATAGATGAACAGACGTACAGAAAGACTGACGGACAGACGGACATCACGATCATTATTATATAGTAATAGTACCCTCCCATTTTCAAGTTGTGAGGAGGGGGATTACCTGGGGATTAAATATTAATACCGCTTTGCTTTAATGAAATATTTCATCAGAAATTTTGAAACAACTACTCATTACGGTACATATACCGAGTACCGGTATCCAACTCATTTACAGTTTAATCTACGTCAAGTATTCTTATCTTTTAAGGGTTTCAGTTTTTCACTAAAGTTATGCCACTCCTTTATTGCATCGTATAAGTTATCTCCCGGACACAGGGTATCCTTTACAGCGCGATGTCCAAGAAGTTGGTAGTCAGTACTTATGTAGCCTAAATCCACACCGCATTGAATCAAATTCTTTGCTGCGCCTATCGCGGCTTCGCCGGGAAAGACTTTATCCATGAAAGTTCCAATGAATGATACACCCAATGCTTTGTCATTGTTATTTCCAACATGAATTCCCTGTCGACCCCAGCCTTGGCCTTCATAAATATTTCCATCATCCCCAACTAAGAAATTGTAACCTATGTCATCCCATTTTGTGTCTGAAAATATGATTGTAATACATGTAATAATAGCAACATCTTGTACACAATATTTTTTTTCATTTTTTTTGCATTGATTGTATTTTTTGTGTTATTAAGTTGGATGAACATAAATTAATTATCATTATTTTTTGAAACTAGTATTCTTTCGTAATAATAAAGAAACAATAGCCAGTTTTACATCGAATAATTACTTGCCTAACTCAATTCAATTTTTCATACATCAGGAACATGAATATCTGTACAAAGATTTAGTTATCACTACACCCACAACATTTGGAATACAATACACTTGGTCTCTCTGGACTAGAATTATCTAATATATAATCGCATATATTTACATTTACAATATCTATGTGATAACATTTCACGGGTAAGGGTATGGTATCTCAATGTTTACAAATGAGTGCAATCTTCGTCAAATGTCTCGTGCATTAAAAAAAACCTCACATAGTGACTCACAAGGAATTCATATGGTTTTTTTTTTAATTTAAAACTTGTGCAAATATCATGCAGGTGGATTCGTTTGTACGATATTTACATATTCTTTTTAAAAGTATCATATGAAGTTTCTGTGTTCAATATTATAAAATATGCTTTTCATATAAGTCATAGGAAAATTTTGTAATTGCATTACGTTTTCACACAAATTTCACTTGAATTAATTGTTTATGTTTCTTTCTTCTGCATAAATTTCAATGAGTTTCATATATATTTTATGCGGGCCACACTTTTCACCTGCTATCATTGTCTCCTCAAAACATCCAGACCCAAATATAGTCCCTATAAAGCTAAAAAGGTAAAAAGCCCAAGAAGAAAGAAGAAATTACAACAACAAAGATTGGCTGTCATTGCTTAAGACATGAAGAAGAAGAGGAAAGTTAAAGTTGAAGACATTTTAAAAGAAATTTATCAGAATCCCACGAAAGGGTATGGAGGAATACATGCCGTGAATCGCCAGGTCAAATCTTTAGGGGGAAAAATGAGAAAGGTTAAAAGAGCAAGATACCTATACCTTACATTAATCCATTCCGGAGACAACAGACTAAAGTGACGAATATAGACAAAAAATGGCATCAGATTTAGCCGATGTGTCCAGTTTAAAGAAGTACAATGACGACTATACATTTTTATTGTGTGTCATTGGCGTCTTATCTAAATATGTCTGGGTGTTGCCTTTAAAATCGAAACAGAAAAAAGAAATGATTCGAGGATTACAAAACTAGTTTTCAACAGGGTCGACGTCTTGCCCGCTTTAAATCGAATCAAGGCAAAGAATTTACAGGCTTTAAGATCTATTCATTTCTTTACCACTCGCAATACGGACACCAAAGCCCGTATCGTGGAACGATTTCAGAGAAACCTCAAAGCACGCATGTGGCGGTATTTCACTTGGAATAAAACCAGACGGTATTTAGAGGTCTTACCGGATTTAGTGTATGCTTACAATCATACGTATCATCGCAGTATCCAAAGAATACCAGCTCAGGTGAAGCCCTCCAATGTCTTAAAATTATGGAAAACTTTCTAAGGGAAATCACAAAAATCTCCTTCAAAACCCAAGATTAAAGCAGGAGTTCGGGTCTGCATCAATAAAGCCAAAAGCACTATTTACCCAGCTGGACTACTGAACTGCTTCCCATTGCCTAAAGAGTCCCCAGTCGGTATTGTTACGTGAATCGGATCCAAGATGACCATGGGGAGGAATTCGAAGGGACATATTCCGAGAAAGAATTACAACAGATCACACATTTCACATTTCATAATTATTTGTTTCCAATTTACTTCTTTTTAATTAAAAGGTTTAACAAATAATTTTGAATTAATAGAAATTCACTGTGTGGCTGTCCCCTGTATTTAGAAAAAAATGCAACTTGTATAAGAATTTAAAACTGTAAGGAACCTTACAGCCTACAGCCATCGATTAGTTTTTTTCTCTCACAGAACGGCCTTTCTCCTATACATAATATTGAAAGTCCTTGTACATAGCGAAACATTGCTGTAGCTAACTGTAATTGGTCGTCCATTCCATTTTTTTTTCAGACCAGCGAGCTACGGATCTGCAGCTAAACAAAACCAAATTCCTTTTTATTATGCGGTGTATTTTCTTTGATGATAAGTGTACTGTTATTTCCAATACCTGTTCTATTCCCAGGTAGGCGTGGCCTACCATTGTACAATAACTTTAGAAACTGCAAGTTATTGCACTGTATTAAAGGGGGCGTGGTAATTGTACCGTACAATAATTTTAGAATTATTGTCAGGTAAGAAAAGAAATCTGAAATCCTCACAAAATTTATCCTTTAATCAACCATTGTAAAGCTTTTTTCTTTAAAAAAAAAAACACCTTTCAATTAAATTTGATGCCCTTGTACAATTCTTACAAGCAAGTTGAAAACAAAAAAAGTCAAAAAACCTCAATTCTAACAAAAATTGGGTTTGAGTAATTTAACAATCTATCTGACTAGTAATTGATTTTTGTGAAATCCCCACTTTAAAACTGGAATGTAATGTTACAATTTTTAAATTCTCCAAACGGGAATCTGTTCGATTCTCTTGTTCAGAGGTTCCTCCTCACCCTGGACGCTTGCTGCAGTCATTGGAATAGCGGGACACTTGTCTGTAATATCCGGATCGCATCCATCTAGAGAATTCATCGGAGTGGAATTCTCGGTACACTCTTTGGGCGGATCCAAGATCTTTGACACATTAGCTTCCATTTGCACACTGGATCTTTTGTATTTACGGACACCTGCTTGAGAACAATGACCAGTCCGATCCATTATCTGTTGCTCCTCCACACCAGACATATATAGCTGGGTCGCACAAGTACGTTTGCCGCTATGATTCGAATAATTACCCTGTAAACCACCTTCCGTGCAAATGATTCGCATGAAGTTTTTCAGCTTACTAATTCCCATGACCTGATTTCCGTATCAAATTGGCACCTCAGGTGTTGCGGGCAGAGGTCTTCGATAGAATGCTCCTCGACGTCCAAGGGAATCCAGATATTGATCAAAATAGTCAGCAATGCATCTTTCCCCTACAAGAAAATTTTGAATTTGTTAGCTAAGTGAACGAGTAATTGTACATCCTCAGTGAAAGAGAGAGAGAGAGAGAGATTCTCTTAGCGGACTGGCAGTGATGTTTAATGGTCTTGTTGCACACATTTAGCTGTCCGAGCCCACCTATGTACGTTTTGGTTTTTCGACCCGTAAACTCAATAAATTAAATTTTCCCAGCTTATCTGATCCAATAGTAAACTGTTCACATGCTAGGTTATGATGTTCGTCACATCCACGCAGACCAAAGATTTTACATGCGTAAAAGAAAATCGTTTTCTGAAGTTGTTCTGCGTTTTTCTTTCCAAAAACTCCAACATCTCACAACTTCGCCTCGTCTTCTGGTAAAATAGGATCAGTCTACTTCGTAGTACATCCTATGCCTTTTTCAATCAACAACTTCATTTTTGCATCTAGAACTTTCCGAAATTCAATGGAAGTTGTGTTTTTTTCGTCTAAAAAGTTTTTATCGGACACACCTTCGTCTCGCAAAAAACGAAGTAGTCCACATGAAATCAAGTACAGGCTCATAAGGGGGGGGGGGTAGTCCTTACCATCCTGTCGTCTTGCTTCTACTATAAAACGTTGTAACCAGTAATTAATTTCCTCGCTGCCCTGGAATTGAAGTTCTGGAATAGTTTCGGATCTGCCTTTTCGCCATTTCTCATCGTGACCGCCCATCTAGTGTTTTGTTTAGTGTTAATGTTTTTCTGGCTTTCAATTAGAGATTTCAGTTCACTCTCCGTCACTGGGGCCGCAAAACGATCACCTGATGTGGTCAGCAAATTCGAACTATTTTCATTTTCTCTCAAAAAGTCATATTCAAGCTTAAATTCACCATGCTCCAATCCTGTGTCGTACTCTGCAAGCGTCTGTGTAAGGCTCATATTCTGTAATCCGTCAAAAGCTTCCATTTCGTCGCAAACTTGAGATAATGTCAGGTCGTCTATTTCCTCAACTTTGAAGTCATTATCCAAAAAATCTACGTCGCAAACTTGAGACAGTGTCATGTCGTCAATTTCTTCAACTTTGAAGTCATTATCCAAAAAATCTACGTCCATCTTTCAGCTTGATTCGATCCCGGTCTAAATTGTAGCGCGAATAATGCCACTGAAGCTCGTGAAAGTAGGCGTGCCACAAACCATTTGCTGGACCAATAGACATACAATAATTGCTGTATCTGGAAATGAAACGGGGTCGTGAGCTCGTGCCCTGCGGGCACTCGTCACGCCTCCGTTTCATTTCCAGATACAGCAATTATTGTATGTCCATTGGTCCAACAAATATAACTTAAGTAGGTAATAATGTCATATGCTTCTTGGTCATATCTATGCATAATAACGGGGTTGCTGCAACTTTTTATCTAGTTTCAGTGCAATAAATACGATCTTGTGAAATTTGTATGTAGCATTCCTGAATTATCGATTCCTCAGTTCGGAACTAGGTCGAGGTTTTGATTTTAGTAGGCGATATATGTTTCCTCTTTGTTAGGTCACCTGAGTCACTCAGGTGACCTATTGCTACCTGTTTTAGTCGTTGGTTGTTTGTCATCAATCGGTCGTAAACTTTTGAACATTTTCAGCTTCTTCTCTGCAACGGTTGAGCCAATTTCAACCGAATTTGGCATACAGCATTTATGGGTGAAGGGGAACAAAAATGATGAATTTCATGGTCCCTGCCTCCCTTGATCCTGGGGATGGGGCCAAAACCACTAAAATTGATGCAATCTTTAAAATCTTCTTCTTTACCCCTGGACTTCAAGCAGTCAAATTGTTGACATGAATGTTATGACCACTGAGTCCTTTACCAAAATTACCGAAATTCATAGCCCCAGGGTCAGGAGTTCTAGTTCTAAGGCAGGACTATATAGATTATACAGCGAAAATGCATTATTTGTTTGAAAATTTACTTCTTTGCTCCTGGGCATTAAAAAAAACTGTTTTCATAATTATGATGAGCAAGAGTGTCTCTTCCAAAATTATGAAATTTATGGCCCCAGGGTCAGGGGTTCTGGTGTTAGGGCGGAGCTCTTTTGATAGTGATGAAACGGAAGTTGATTTTCATTGTTTAGTTTCGTATTAACGTTAGACCTACGTTTCTGTTTAAAGTCTTAAACACTAAAAAAAATATTAATTTTACGTTCATACAAGTAGTATGAAACTGCCCTTGAACTGAGACTGCATTGGGATAATACTAATTGTATTGCAGGACCTTTGAGACCTTTCTGGTGACGGAGTTGTGAAACCTTAGCTTGTTTCTCCTCTTACACACGGTCATAAGACCTGAATAAGGCAGACAGTTGCGGGGGATAGACAGCTAAGTGTTGTAGACTAACCAAAAGCGTAAGACCTGAATAAGGCAGTCACTTGGTAGTATAGATCAAGAGAGGTGGCATACCACAGTGAGAAGTGGGGGAAGTGCCAGGAGTCAGTACAGTGAGAAGTGGCAGGACCGAAGAAATCTACTTACGGGAGACACCCGTTGACCACAGCTAGTGGTTGTCCAATCAAGAAGAAACCCGTTGATCCATTGTATTATACTTTATCTTATTTGTATATATTTGATTTGATTTTATTTGGTCAACAGAAACCTGAGTTAACAGGTTAACGAACCTGAGTGTAACGCCTCGGTGATACAAGACATATCACCAAACACCAAGCTCGGCCGCGTTGCACGTTACAGTAAAAATACATTAATTCTTTAAAAATCTTCTCCTCTGCTCCTGGGTATAAAATAAACTTACTAAGTATATAGGTATAGTGACTAAGAGTGCCTCAATCAACTTTGGGAATTTCATGGCCCCTGGGTCAGGGGTTGTACCATTAGGTGTAAGGGGGGCTCTTTTGATATAGTGCAAATATATTAATTCTTTGAAAATTTTTTCCTTTGCTTCTAGGTATTATGCCAATGATCTGAGGATATATATTTATGACGAAAGAAAGTTGCATCTAGCAAAATGGTTACTTTCATGCCCCTTGGGTCAGGGGTATGGGGGGGGGGGGTTATAGTCTGAAAATAAATCAATGCTTTGAAATCGGCTCTTTGGTTTTAATCAACCATTTATGATGAAATAAAATTTATGGTAAAATTTCCAAAATTTTGAAATATGTGGCCCCAGGGTCAGTGGTTTTTTTTAGGGTGGGGTGCCCAACTGGTTATAAAGTGGAAGTGCATTTTCTCTGTAACTCTCATTGGCGTCGGAAGCAAATTAAAAGTGGAGGGGCTAAGTGTAATGAAAAATGTTTTTACCAAAAAAACTGACAAGCAAAAAAAAAAAAAAAGAAAATGTCTATTTCCCAACCACGAAAATCCTATTTCGTGGGGGGGGGGGGGGGGGGGGAGTAAGATTCGAACTCCAGTACCAAAAATTTCCTTCCAAACACCACCACTTTCCCCATTTTTAACCTAAACTAAGACGTATCAGTGGATAGTGGAGGGGGGGGGGGCTGAACTTACGAAGATATGTTCAATATCATACTAAGTATATATTTGGAAAACAAAGTGGGGGGGGGGGGGGCTAAGTCCCCCCCTACCCCCCCCCCCCCCCCCGGTTCCGACGCCTATGACTCTGATCTACCTCTGGGTATTAAGTGACTAGCGTAAGAATGCTAAGTGTATAATTATGATAAGCAATGGTGCCTCTTTTAAAATTGTGAATTCATGTCCTCTGGTTTCAAACACGAACTAAATTCATTTGTTGGAAATTTGTTACATGATACTCAGGTGACCTATTAGTCCCGTGTGTCTCTTGTTTGTTTACCGATAAGTTGTTTTCATTTGTATGCATGAAATAGTGATTCAACGTAATTGAACATGTAGAATAGATTGTATGAATAAGATTTCATGATGTAATCGACGCAACTAAAGTGTATGTCCAGGACTCTTTAAAATTTAAACAAATGGAAAGGCGCTTTCCTGAAACATATTATATTAAAGCTATATATGAAATTATGCTTGATCGACTTCAAGTATATTTTGTATAATGTATTTAAAAATTGTAACCACTAAGCAATATTCGTAAAAATTTGTAACATTTTTTACAAAAAGATTGATAAAACCTCAACGTTCCATCGTGCCCATAGGGATATAAAACACTGGCAGATTCAAAGGGGCATGGGGGCGCACCCCCTCCCCCCACCTAAAATTTCAAAGTATATGATATGACTAGTATTAATAATGCCATACTTTGGTACATATAAACTAACCAATACCACTATTATTATGCCTGATTTTACTATTGAAATACACGAAAACACAGGACCTTTCGGAGGCTTCGCCCCTCTGGGCCCCCACCATTGAATGTATAATATGACTAGTATTAATAATGACGTACTTTGGAGTGTGCATAACTAACCGGTACTACTATAATTGTGTCTGGTTTTACTCTTGAAATACAAGAAAACCCAGGGGTTTCCGGGGGCTCCCCCCGGCCCCCCAACATGGCCCTGGACCCACTGGCGGCCTTAAGGCGCCCCCAGGCCCCTGTCTGAATAAAATTATCCACCCCAGATCACAAATCCTGTACATGTATCCGCCCATGTAAACGAAAACTGAAGTACTACACGTACACAGTATATATTAAAACTGTTTAAATTACTGTTCAGAATCAACTTTTTAAGTATATAAAATATAAGCACATGCACATGGTACTGACGAAATACGGCGAAGAACTTCAATCTAACATTTAGACGCTTTTACATAATAACGTACGCTTATATACATGCTCTTAAACAGAGGGTAACTTTAAG